TTATGTTGAGCAAATGTACTCGAACTCGTATGTCGCGGTGTCATAGGGCTATTTACTTGATCAACGGAACTATTGTTTGTAAAATCTTGAGTCTGCTTCCGGTAAGTCTCGCTTAACTTCTGAATCCTCAGATCCAAATCGTATGAATATTCTTCTCATTCCACGATTTCTGTTTCAATATCGTCACACTGATTAATGATCTTTTCATTCAGTCCTTTAATCACCGCAACTTTCTCTGTCAGATAATTTATGAGTGATGAAATTTCTAGCGATGACATTTCCTCATTTGATCTATTGCGGCTTATTTGCTCTGCACAATTCTTCGATGACCTTCTCTTGTTGAAATAAGCTTCTGTAGATTCATGATAAGTCAATAGCAATACAAACGGCACCAATGTGGAAGTGGTTTCATATATTGGAAGTAATAATACAAAGGCGTTGTGTAGGTTCAATCTGTATTGACTCTCGATTCAATGTGTACAAAATCTCAATAGTAATATATACAACAATAACAACATACGTCAGAAGTGACGTTGACTTCAAATAGCGCGGTAAGAAATAACATAGATAATAACGTAAATTTGTGTAGTTATCTTGCAGTCAACATTTATATGTTATTGATTCTGCCTACACTTTCTTCGAAGCAGCTAAAGTTTATAATAGGATAAAATTGATAACCTTGCGGCCAAAAAAGAATACAATGTATTTGACATATACTCTGATCGCAAGTTTGAATGCCATTGTGGAAAATAAGAAAAGAAAAAGAAATATTGCCCACATATTTCGTATTAACGTTCTCTTAATTAGGAGATCAGCTCTTTAATATGCACTAGTTAACCTTCGTGCACCTTTTATTTATCAAAATAAAGTTTTCTGAACTAATGGCTAATCTTTCCAATTACATCAAATTGTTTATGAAGTTGCTGGAAACCGATATTATATATTCTTTCTTTATAAATTTTTCCCTAAGCAGAATGCGTATGGACGAAATGCAACGTCTGTTTCCATGGAAAATTCGTATCGTAAACGGCCTTAATGCTCTTAAGCAAACAAGTTCTTAAAACTCATATGAATTGTGCCACAAAGTAAACCATTTCGTAAATGCTCAGAAGTGCTTTCAGTACCTTGATTTTTGTAGTATTCTATTTTCACGTCGAACCTCAGTTTTATACTAAATCCAATGTAAATAATTGTATCATCTTTTTGTAAAATTCAGAGTTATCGAGTGAAATTCCTTATTTCAGTATTTTTATTGATTGCTTAAATTTCTTGGTATCATTTCAAGCATTTTGACATATTTTTCATTAAAATTAGGTCCAGTAATAAGAAAGTTAGCTTTTTGTGATAAAGTGCAAATTTATTTATGTTCTATAAATTTCATATAACGGGCCTGTATATTTTATTATATATGCGTTCTGGAATGCAAGAAAATCGTGAAAGTTATATTTCACGCTTTTCACTCAGGGTAACTATGCCTATATATTAAATATTGTTTTCGGTACTTTCTAGTTTTTGCTTTGTGGTATTTAAAAGTATTTGGTATGAATAGTTCTCGTTTTTCTCGTGCGTATTTCGCGGCTAAATAGTCATTCGAGGTTTGCTACTGTACAAGTAACATTACTTTTGTTCAGTAAATTTAAGGTCTAAATAAGTGAGATTGTTGCTTTATGTTGTAACAAAACTGTCCAATGGCTCAATTATCTGTATAATTATGTTGATTTAATATTTGTCTTTGGAGATATATATTGTCTTTATTACATGATAAAATACGTTATTATTCATGTATTGCTATGAGAAAATATTGTCGACTTTAAGAAATAAAAAGTAGCAAACCGCCTTCTAACTCGATACTGTCTTTGTTTTTCCTTGTCAAGTATAGCAAATAAGTGTTTTATTTTCGGACGAACGTAAGTGAGGGAGAAAATAATCAACGAATTTAAATCTTCTTTGGGACTTGCATATAGATGTGTAAAGACGCACACTGTCATTAAGACAGACATATCTATTGTTGTCGTGTAAATTTTTAAGCTTGTGCAAGGTAAATTTTTCTTTTCTTGTTTTATTTAGTATTTTTTTTTGTTATTTCAGAAGATTGTTACTCAGTTATCTTTTTTTTTTTTTTAAATTCGTTTTATAGAAATTTTATTCTGCATTTTGACAGTAATTTTTCGTTCTTTGATTTTTCGTCTTCTGTAGATTTTAACTCTAGTGTTTCATTCATAACTTGAATAATTATCTCTGATAGATGTTGTTTTGTATGGAAGGCCGTTAACGCCTAGAGTGCACGTTTCTTCATCATGCATATCATATGTTTCATGTATATTTACTAACATAAGTTTTCATGTTCCTGTTTAATACAGTAAAGTCATTTTATAATTAAGTCTGCTGCAGATGTTCTTTTTATATAATTCTTATTTCTTTAAGTAATTTTCATATCACTTCATCATCATTATTTATTCAAGGAAAGATTTCGTCGATATTTAGGTGGCATCCGGTCTTGCTTCATGTTTTATATCTTACAACGTGCTACGATATATAATCAACGTTGAATTTATTATACCAGTGTGTATGGCGTTCCATAAGGGACATTATATTTTAGAAGTTTTGTTTATAGGAATCTGGCTATTCCAAAGGGACATACTTATACCCTTCTATGTGTGTATCATGGATATTTATTGTTTTTATATTTTGTACCTTTTACTCGGAGGCTTCACCCTAAATTTTGAATCACGCATGTATTCAACATAGCGACGAAAGTGGAGATTGTGACGTAGCGATCTACACTCTGTAGACAGTACATAAGCGATCTGTCTGCTTTGAATGGGTCGCATCTGGAGATTGTGACGTAGAGACCCCACATCAACAGTCTTGGATCTACACTCTGTAGAAGTACAGGATCGATCTCTCTGCTTTGGATCGGTCACATCTCGAGCCCCAGTGAAAATTTGTTTTGAGTTACTCCACCGGGAAAAAGTGCTATTCGACTGGACATGAGAAACGTGACACGGACCTTTTTTTTCTTTGCATTTATTCATATCATTTACTTTCATAATAAATAATCATTTATTTTTGTAAATAAAATGTTAAATAGTTTGTACTGAGTTGTGCTTTGTTTTCTATGGTAGTTGTGATCAGCCTGTGTTCCATCGTAGTTCATATTGTGACAATTAGAATCTTGTACAAAGTCAGGTGAGAAAGGTAAAAAAATTCAGGGTGTTTTAAAACGGAAATATTACTTGATTTTGAGTGAACTGCGATATAATATAACACAGAATGAAGTTTAGATGTGCAGTAATATTATCACAAAAGCCGTAGGCCTAAGGACAATTGAACGACATATCGTGCTACTTGTATAACACAGAGCAAACAAAATCAAGATGTTTTTCCATTCTTACACCTCAAGAAAAACTATAGGACTATATTGGTGGTGGTTAAATTTGTTCTCGTCTCAGTGTTTCTAATATGAACTTTCTTTAAAGGCTTTTTAGCCGGTTGATGCACTTATTCAATTTTTGCGTCTCCGTAAAAATGACATTGCGCGGTCGTGAATATATTTTGACGTGCCGTCATATGCGTTATAAAAATACGACCGTACAATACCATTTTTAAGGAGAAACAAAATAAACACGGGAATGTGATAAATAGAGTATATTGAATGAGTGTAAAATTTAGTACTGAATTTCTTGAACGAGTTGAACAAAATTATATTATGTTACCCTCTGGCGAACATAATATTATTTTATTCAACGAGTTCAATAAATTTAGTATTTAACTTACACGACAGTAATAGACTTTTTATCATATACCGAGTGGACCATTATTAATTGACGCCCCTTTTGTATAATGCGCGTGCAAAAACTGTCAAAAGAGAAAACTATATCACTGTTTTATTTAAGAAATAATATATCCCAAACAGTGATTTTATCGATCAATAACATCACTGTTTGGAGTTCGGGTGCGAGGAATTATATCACGAGGGCGTAGCCCGAGTGAAATAATGATGCGCGTCCGAACGACAAACAGTGATGTTATCAAGCGATAAAATCACTGATTTGGTTATATATTTTTTCGATTCTAACACGACATCAACACATAAATGTTGCCGTACTTGATAGTTAAAGAAAAATGCGCCTGTTTGTTTCCGTACATATTTTCAGCACGTCGGATTTTTATTGGTTACGCCACGTGTATAATGATTACGTCACATGTCTAAATATAGAACGTCAAACTGAGCATCTGTTGCATAATAACACACACTTTCTGTTCTTCTATGTTTAATAGGGAAAAATGCGGGTCGTCTTAGAATTTACTATAAATACTCTGTATTTTGCTTGTAAAATATATAAAGAAATAAAACAAGTAAAATGTTGCTGCTGCACATCAAAGACGTCGCCAAATGATGTGAACAGTCACAACTAATGTACAAAATCAGCCCTTTTTAAAATTGTTTATATTAACCTTTAAAATCCGAAGCATTAATTTTAAATTTTTTTCCATGTTTGGGATGCGTCGAAATTTTTGAAATTTTTTGTCCCGTTCAAAAAGATTGAAAAAGTCTGGTCGAAGCAAAAAATTTTAGTTAAATTTTGTAAATTTTAATTTTGTGTGTTTTACCCCCTTTTTTTTTTGAGGGGAGTACCCGTCGGATGCGAACGTGGGGGTTTTTTTAAAACTAGCCGGGAATCAAACTCTTCAAATTTAAAAAGGGGTTTAGAAACTTGAATAGGGGCCCAAAGGTTTGGTTCCCTGATCCCCCTTTGGGGTTTTTTTTTCAGGGTTGTGATTGTTTTAAAAAAGGAAGAATCCTTTTAAGGGTTGTGATTTTTAATTTTTGCGTTAAATTTTTTTGTTATTATGCGAATAGGGGTAGTCCACTCTTTTTGTCGTTGATTTTCGCGACCAAAACATAAAAAACACAGGGCTATGTGCCAGAAAATTAGAAGATGGACATGTATTTTTAATTGTTTGCTGTGAGATACATATGTATATGTTAAATATGAAATGCATTTATTTCAGGTGTGTGATTACAGACTTGTGTGTGGTTTTGATTGTGGCGCAGTCAGTTGTTTGCCGAGAAGCCTTGAAAACTGTGTATTGCCCCCTTAAGAGCAAAATTTGATTTTTTGTAAGTACTTTTTAATATCATAATTTCATGTTTATATTGACCCAAACCTGTGGCTGTGGTGAAATATGAGCTTTTAAAGTGCATATTTTGCCTCATGTCTATATTAGAGAGCAAAATCAAGGGGAGGTCATTCTTCATAGACAGTTAAAAATCATGCATTCAAGTGTTTGGTGAGCTATTCATCTTCACATTTAAGCTCACCTGAGTCATTTTCTCTAACATGGTGGTTCCAGGAGCATCAAATGATAGAAATAAGCAATTTTCATACAAAATTTTGGACAACCGCATCGATTCCAACCATTTTAGTTCAAATGAAGGCCTCGGACCGAGCATTTTTTGCGTGACCAATCCATTTTTTTAAGTAATTTCTGAACATTTTTTTCAAAACTGTTTCATACTGAGAGTGGTCATAAATGGTTAAAATAGCCTAAATACTTGAATAAATATCAATTTTGATCTATCTGACTGTTTTTTTAACTTTGATAAGCAGATTTTGAAGGGACGGTCAAGAATAAACATAAAACAGCTGATTTTGCTCAAACGCGAATCACATCGCAATCAATTTTCCTTTCGCAATGTCATAAATTAGCATTATATAAATAAGTTTCACTTTTAAATCCTTGAAATGTCATTTTGCTATGTATCTGGAAGCAGATTTCTTTCAAAGAATGACAATTTTTCATTGTCTGTAGCTTGAAATTCTAGCATGGCAGCTTCTTTGCGGAATAACTGAACACTGAAAATCTTGATACAGCACATGCTCTAGAGCAGAAATTGGAGCAGGAGAGAAGTTGGCACAACTTAAAATGGATTGAAAATATGCCTGAATATATGCTTAGCATGAAAGAATGTTAGTAAAATTGTAGATGCATCATAATCATGTGTTTTGTGGACTTTGAAATACTTCTTGTTCTGTCATTAAAAATTGGGTATATTTTAGGTAAATTCTCAGTATTCATGACCTTTTTTTATTGGCAATATTTGCTGAAGCATGTAAGTGCCCTTATATAATTCAGTGGTAAATTTCATTCAAATTGATCAAATTATAGAAATGAAGGTCAAAATTGTGGTTTTAAAAATGTTTTGTTGTGCTTTAAGGAGGCAGTACACAGTTTCGGCTGTTTAGTTTCGAATTGGCCAGGGTGGAATTTACAAATAAGAGACAGTTTTGAAATTGAAGTGGATATTTGAGGTTCTAAATGTTTATAGTTACTATATTTCAAGTTTCAATGACTAGTATTGTGTTTCAGTTATTTAGTAAAATTGAATTTAGTGGTGTTAACCCTTGTTTTTTTGAGAGAGTACCTGTCGGATGCGAACGTGTGGTTTTTGGAGCTAGGCGGTGAATCAGCTCTTCAATTTAAAGGGTATGCAGAAGACTTAGAATAGTGAAAAAAGTAGGTGCATGACTCCCCGTTTGGATGTTATTTTCAGATTGTGCATTGTTTAAGAAGGAAGAATCACTATAGCTTGTGATTTAATCTTTTGACGTTAATATATTTTTGTATTTTGCGAATAGGGGTAATCCGCTTTTTTGTCGTTGATTTTCGCGACCAAAACAATGAAAAACACAGGGCTATGTGCCAGAAAACTAGAAGGTGGACATGTATTTTTAATTGTTTGCTGTGAGATACATATGTATATGTTAAATATGAAATGCATTTATTTCAGGTGTGTGATTACAGACTTGTGTGTGAGGTTTTGATTGTGGCGCAGTCAGTTGTTTGCCGAGAAGCCTTGAAAACTGTGTATTGCCCCCTTAAGAGCAAAATTTGATTTTTTGTAAGTACTTTTTAATATCATAATTACATGTTTATATTGACCCAAAGCTGTGGCTATGGTGAAATATGAGCTTTTAAAGTGCATATTTTGCCTCATGTCTATATTAGAGAGCAAAATCAAGGGGAGGTAATTCTTCATTGACAGTTAAAAATCATGCATTTAAGTGTTTGGTGAGCTATTCATCTTCACATTTAAGCTCACCTGAGTCATTTTCTCTAACATGGTGGTTCCAGGAGCATCAAATGATAGAAATAAGCAATTTTCGTACAAAATTTTGGACTATCGCATCGATTCCAACCATTTTAGTTCAAATGAAGGCCTCGGATCGGGCATTTTTTTCGAGACCAGTCCATTTTTTTTAAGTAATTTCTGAACATTTTTTTCAAAACTGTTTCATACTGAGAGTGGTCATAAATGGTTAAAATAGCCTAAATACTTGAATAAATATCAATTTTGATCTATCTGACTGTTTTTTTTAACTTTGATAAGCAGATTTTGAAGGGACGGTCAAGAATAAACATAAAACAGCTGATTTTGCTCAAACGCGATTCACATCGCAATCAATTTTCCTTTCGCAATGTCATAAATTAGCATTATATAAATAAGTTTCACTTTTAAATCCTTGAAATGTCATTTTGCTATGTATCTGGAAACAGATTTCTTTCAAAGAATGACAATTTTTCATTGTCTGTAGCTTGAAATTCTAGCATGGCAGCTTCTTTGCGGAATAACTGAACACTGAAAATCTTGATACAGCACATGCTCTAGAGCAGAAATTGGAGCAGGAGAGAAGTTGGCACAACTTAAAATGGATTGAAAATATGCCTGAATATATGCTTAGCATGAAAGAATGTTAGTAAAATTGTAGATGCATCATAATCATGTGTTTTGTGGACTTTGAAATACTTCTTGTTTTGTCATTAAAAAATGGGTAATTTTAAGGTAAATTCTCAGTATTCATGACCTTTTTTTATTGGCAATATTTGCTGAAGCATGTAGTGCCCTTATATAATTCAGTGGTAAATTTCATTCAAATTGATCAAATTATAGAAATGAAGGTCAAAATTGTGGTTTTAAAAATGTTTTGTTGTGCTTTAAGAGCAAAATTTGATTTTTTGTAAGTACTTTTTAATATCATAATTTCATGTTTATATTGACCCAAACCTGTGGCTGTGGTGAAATATGAGCTTTTAAAGTGCATATTTTGCCTCATGTCTATATTAGAGAGCAAAATCAAGGGGAGGTCATTCTTCATTGAGAGTTAAAAATCATGCATTCAAGTGTTTGGTGAGCTGTTCATCTTCACATTTAAGCTCACCTGCGTCATTTTCTCTAACATGGTGGTTCCAGGAGCATCAAATGATAGAAATAAGCAATTTTCATACAAAATTTTGGACTACCGCATCGATTCCAACCATTTTAGTTCAAATGAAGGCCTCGGACCGAGCATTTTTTGCGTGACCAGTCCATTTTTTTAAGTAATTTCTGAACATTTTTTTCAAAACTGTTTCATACTGAGAGTGGTCATAAATGGTTAAAATAGCCTAAATACTTGAATAAATATCAATTTTGATCTATCTGACTGTTTTTTTTTAACTTTGATAAGCAGATTTTGAAGGGACGGTCAAGAATAAACATAAAACAGCTGATTTTGCTCAAACGCAAAACACATCGCAATCAATTTTCCTTTCGCAATGTCATAAATTAGCATTATATAAATAAGTTTCACTTTTAAATCCTTGAAATGTCATTTTGCTATGTATCTGGAAGCAGATTTCTTTCAAAGAATGACAATTTTTCATTGTCTGTAGCTTGAAATTCTAGCATGGCAGCTTCTTTGCGGAATAACTGACACTGAAAATCTTGATACAGCACATGCTCTAGAGCAGAAATTGGAGCAGGAGAGAAGTTGGCACAACTTAAAATGGATTGAAAATATGCCTGAATATATGCTTAGCATGAAAGAATGTTAGTAAAATTGTAGATGCATCATAATCATGTGTTTTGTGGACTTTGAAATACTTCTTGTTCTGTCATTAAAAATTGGGTATATTTTAGGTAAATTCTCAGTACTCATGACCTTTTTATTGGCAATATTTGCTGAAGCATGTAATGCCCTTATATAAATTCAGTGGTAAATTTCATTCAAATTGATCAAATTATAGAAATGAAGGTCAAAATTGTGGTTTTAAAAATGTTTTGTTGTGCTTTAAGGAGGCAGTACACAGTTTCAGCCGTTTAGTTTCGAATTGGCCAGGGTCAAATTTACAAATAAGAGACAGTTTTGAAATTGAAGTGGAAATTTGAGGTTCTAAATGTTTATAGTTACTATATTTCAAGTTTCAATGACTAGTATTGTGTTTCAGTTATTTAGTAAAATTGAATTTAGTGGGGTTGACCCTTGTTTTTTTGAGAGAGTACCTGTCGGATGCGAACGTGTGGTTTTTGGAGCTAGCCGGTGAATCAGCTCTTCAATTTAAAGGGTATGCAGAAGACTTAGAATAGTGAAAAAAGTAGATGCATGACTCCCCGTTTGGATGTTATTTTCAGATTGTGCATTGTTTAAGAAGGAAAAATCACTATAGCTTGTGATTTAATCTTTTGACGTTAATATATTTTTGTTATTATGCGAATAGGGGTAGTCCACTCTTTTTGTCGTTGATTTTCGCGACCAAAACAATGAAAAACACAGGGCTATGTGCCAGAAAACTTGAAGGTGGACATGTTTTTTTAATTGTTTGCTGTGAGATACATATGTATATGTTAAATATGGAATGCATTTATTTCAGGTGTGTGATTACAGACTTGTGTGTGAGGTTTTGATTGTGGCGCAGTCAGTTGTTTGCCGAGAAGCCTTGAAAACTGTGTATTGCCCCCTTATTAGACTATAGACGGGTCTATGTTGAGCTAAGGGTTAAGGGAGAACCGCCTCTCTGATAACGGGCGTGGTTTAGGCTTTGAAACTTGTTATGTAATAATTCGTCAAATTATACCTGGTTTCCTTTCCTCCCCCCCCCCCCCACACCCTCGTCAACGAAGACTAAATGCTAGCATATTGAATTTGGCGACAATTTAAGGCGGAGACGAACTTCAACTGAGGCGGAGCAAATGAAGTGAGTGACACTGCTTCAGTCGTTACCTCTCTTAACGGTTAAGCTTTTAGAACGATCGACTTAAGCCTGGCTCATTGGGGCGTTAATAGGTAGATAAAATAAGATAATAATAAAAAGAATATGATATTCAAACATGACACTATCACTTTCAGTTTAAACGTTTTATTTTAATCCCTTATAGTGGGCGGAAATAAGGTCTCTGCTGTCAAAATAGTGCAAATTGTGATACAAGCATGAAACTTTTCAGGAAAATCATCTTTAGACCATGTAGATTTCAAAAGTGAAGTGGGCCCAAAAATATCTCTGCTCATTCAAGATGGTCGCAATTTTCAAAGATGGCCGCCATATAAATTTGATGTACATAATAGATCATTCATTCCAATTTTTTGTACAGACCTGAAACTTACACCAAAGCATGCATATAGTTTCCCCCTTTTCAAAAATTTAAATCTTTAAGCAATTTCTCTTGCATATTTCTTCAGAATCCAAGATGGCGTCAATATGGCTGCCAATTTTAATGAAAACTGAATATATCTCTTTTGTAGTATAATTTTTTGCACACGTTATGCGTATTTCCATATAAAATTGTTAACTTTATTAGAAAAAAATATCAAATTTTAGGTTAACCACGTTGTTAGTCATTGTTTTAAGTTTTTTTGTACAAAAAAATCTTTAAAAAAAATCAAAGGAAAAAGTGCCATTTTTTTTTCATTTTTCTCTAACATGGTTTTCTAGGTCTATGGTACAAAATTCCAAAAGTTACATAGTTTCTTTTAAAGTGTATTTTGATATTCAATTAACACTATGTTTTATTGTATAATTGTAACAAAAACACACAAAATGTGAAGGTTTTTTATTCTTATTAAAAGTGGGTGGGGTAAATTTATCAGACAATTGTAGTACAAAATAACGTTTTTTTTAAGAATTCTTATGCAAATATTCACTGTAAAAGTATTTTTATTGTATTAAGATATTTTTGTTTCCTTCAGGTCTAGAGGCTGTACTAAATATCAATAAATACAGATACAATCATATGTATACATTCAGTTATTAAATGTGTTTGCATGATATAAGTTGTTTCAATAGTCATAATATAACTTGATAATTGAACAGAAAGAAGACTGAATATTTCATGCACGAACCATAATTGTTAGATAAAATCATGCCTGGACCCTTAGTGAAATGTTGTTATTTTATGAAAATTCAATTATTTCCTGCACCAATTTAGTCTTTGCTAAAAGCTTGTAACAGAATGATTCAAAGTTATATTTAACTTGCCACATTCATTGTTAAACCAAGTAATTAAGTTGAATAAGTGCCCGTCTCATTTTCTAATAACTTATTGTTACGACATGGATATTTTCATAAACGAAACCAAATATTTAGGCCGACTGATACAATCATATTATCTAATGACTAGGTGGTGCCTAAAATAGGTTCATAAAACCGCTTGACTCACATAACAAACATAGCTTTATACTTTGGAAGTATAAACTAGATTGTGTTCCTACTTTAATTGTTTCCATAAAACAAGAGAGCATTGTTTTGACCCTAGATCACGCCCGCCCAAAGACCCACTGCTGGGAAAAGGTCTATAAATTCTTTTTATACTGAAAGAATTGCTAAAATTATATAAGGAAGTATCTTTTTATCGCCTGTCATGATTAATTTTAAAGAATCATGTCCAATAACTAGGCTCTCAGAACTACAAGAAGACTCATATAACTATATTCCAGTAAGAGTCCATGTCAACTAAGTGATTTTGACCCTATGCCAATAGTTTACAATCTTTTATATAGCATCACAATGTTATGATATACGATATTTTTCTTTCTTTCTGTGCACATAGTTTCGGAGAAGAATTTTAATATTATAAGTCAATGTAAACTAAGTGACAGGGAAAGCCATTTTGGACTGCAGGAACGTGATTTAAAGGCCCTCACGAGGAACACAGTTTTTTAAAGACTTGTGTAGGGAATCGCATTGAAGTTGTTTTGTTGTTGATGTTATTAAAAAAAGTCAACAAACAAACAAACTGTAATGCCTAGAGCTTAGATAGTCAAAATATAACCTTGCAAGTAAAAGAAGACCTCTTTAAAAGTTACATAAAACACTTTTGTATCATTAAGTGTACATGCAATAAAAAAATCTTCTCAAAAATCAAAATGCATAGAGCACTGGTACTAAGCTGGCATGTAGCACCACCTTGAGTCTTTATTAACACATTTAATGAATCATGCTCATAGAGCCACCTGGGTACACATTAAAACATCTAGTGTTAAACTTCATTGACTTGAAATAAGATATTTGGGATGTAGACTGATATAACATGCATAAATTTGTATGATGCTACTGCAGTCTAAATGGTTTTGCAATGGTATCACTTAATTTACAAAGACTACTGTAATAAATCTGTTTTCTCTTAACCTACACTATCCGACGCTATACATTAATCATGTGTCATCATAATTATGTTATAATAATGATATATCATGGACAACATGGTCCAAATTTACCAAACACAAAAGGTCACTAAGTTTATATGGACTCGTATATAGATATGGTTATTAAAGTTCTCTCGTGTGAAATAAAAAATTGAAAGCAGATATTGAGCATGTTTCTTTAAAAGCAACCGGATTCAATTATGACACAAATCAAGTGTGTTATGACATAATTGACACTCCCAAAATGATCTTGTTACCTTTTTTCCAACAATGATCTTAGGTGAGTGATCCAGGGTCATCATTACCCTCTTATTGCAAGAAAAAAATAAGATATGATTACTTTAGGAAATACTAGTACACTTAGTTTGTATCTTAACTTTTCAAAAAGTTGCATGCAGGCCAGGCCATATCATTGATATCGATGGCTGAACGCAACACTGGTCTAACTTGCTTTTTTTTCAAAAATGACTTTTTTGCATTTTTTAGTCTATTTGCATGAAATACATCAGTAAATAAAATATTAGAAATATTTGTGAAATTTTATGGGTTTTATTTACCACTTGGCATTTTGTTCTATCTCAAATGTGATTATAACTTAAATGCAACAGAGAGCTAACTCAAGTTAGAACTGTGTTGCATTCATCAAAATTTACTTATTGGATGATAACACTGTACTAACTCTAGTTAGCACAGTGTTGCTGTTAAATTTCAATACAATAAATTTTAGTATTGTTATATTTGCAGATATTAAGTAAGGTCTGGCATATTCAATAACTCTTATTTCTACATTTTACCCATTTTTGTTGCCAAAATTGCAGAATTGTAAATCCAAAGCTCTTATTTAATTCTATTTTGTTTTCAAGGAACATTTATAAGTTTAAAATTGCTATATTATCTCTACATAGTCATATAAGATTGAAATAAAAAATAATAGTAAATTAACCTTTCAAAAAGTTTTTATTATAATATTTAAATCATATAATTCACTGTTGATGAAAATTATTTACAAGACAATTTGTTTTGTTTTTTGTTGTTGTTGTTTTTAATCATAGTGATCTATTAATACTGATGAAACCAGATCTCCCACCCTTTAAAAATTTCAAGATTTTATAATTATTTGATAAAATTTGCTCCTAATTCTTAAAGGGACTCCAATTTTGGCATCATAGGACTTAAAATACATGTATAATATATTCGAGATTTATGTACAATTTGATGACAGTCTGGACAATAACTTGTGGTGTTAAAACTTTCAGATTATTTGCTAAATTTTTTCCAGAGCAATTATGTGAACTGTTAAAATGACCGAAAATTGAAAAGCATTCTTATATAAGCTTTAAACTCAAATTAGATTATAATAGAGCCATGATGGAATTTTCAATTTCATGTTAAGTATAATTTCTTGATGGAATTTTCAATTTCATGTTAAGTATAATTTATTTTTATCTCTTGTGTATATTTTGTTTATGTGACCCAAGTTGATTGACATTTCAGAAATTCAAATCTTAAGTTTTTATGCTTTTGGACCTCAGTGAAGTCTTTATAAGTATCTGTATGTACAAGGCTTGTAATCATTTAAATAAAACTTTTGGTTTGGTTGGTTTTACAGCGCACCAACACAACTGAGGTCCTTAGAATAATGTCACTGAAAAAGATTTTTTCTTGCACATCAGATAGGATTATCTTCTGTTTTAAAATACACCAGTGCTAGAAAAACCTGTCTTACATCCCCCATGTAAGACAAGTCAATGTTTTTAAATGAAGTCATTCCCAAGCGCCTTTAATGAATGAATTGCTTTCTAAACATGACATCATTGTGCCATAACAATAAAGTTGTAAAGTCATACGCTACTATACGAGAAAAGTGCTAAATGAAACTATTAGTTATCGTCATTTCTTTACGAAATATCACTAATATGTAATATGCGATAAAAAAATCAAACACAAGCTGTTGTCACAGACAGGAATATCTAGCTCTTGGGTAACTGTGTAGCGGAAACTCTGCAGGGTCTCTTTACCGCCATAAAAATACCCTCAAGTTAGATATTCTTGTCTGTACCGGCAGCCAGTGTAAATTCCTTATAGGCTTAGTAAATTCCTTATAAGCTAACCTCAGATGTTACAAAAATGAAGCAGCAGAACTTGGGTACTTGAGGTCTTCCTCTACTGGGAAAGCTAGAGTATTGCCATGTGACCTCTACTATGTAAGTGTGACATAAAACCCAACAAGAAAAGAAAAGAAATGTTGTAGAGGGTCCCCGTGACAGCAATGCAAGTCTCAAATTCTAGCGCCTCTGGAACAACCGTGAGAGCTTGGCGCG